CACTTTGCTGTAAGACCAGATGAAATTTGTACCTAAAAGTGAAAAAATGTCTTTGATTACAAATGCTCTTATGATACTGATTTCATTGCAATATTTTAAATCTATTTTGAAGTTTTATTAGGATATTAATAAAATATAAATTGCTTTTTCAAAAAGCATTGCTATATTTATTGTTTTACAATATGTCATCAATTCTTTAGCCCATTACAGCTTTGTTCCCAACTACTTCCTTTGTAATGTTTTTGGCAAGTATATTGCACATATATTGCACTTCTTTCTGTATGTGAGAGACCCAACCATATGATATATGTATATTATGTTATACGATTGGTTTTGAAATCAGGAGGAGAAAAGTATGCATTTATATTGTCTATTATAATTACAATATTATCTTTTCCAGTGTGCTTTGTTCATATGGATTTGAATTGCTGTCTTGGATCATTTGCTTTCAAACTGAAGAAATAATAATCGTGGTAATTCACAATCTTAACAAGATCGAATCTATCAAAGGACAAGATACAATTCACCTGTTTGGAGTTTCTTTCTGTAGTGCTTTCAAAGTCTCTAAAACTAGCATCCACCACACAGAAATGTATAGGCAAACAGATGATAGCAAAGATTGCCTAAATTTCTATACCTTGTACTAAATAAAATGCTACTGAGAAACCTATTTACTGTAAGAAGGGTAACAACTTGCTGTTCTTCACCCCATTAACACTTACTTTTCTCCACTCCTTTCACTGTCACTGTTCCTCAAGACTGATCAGCACTAATTTTTGTGAACTATATGCTGCACCCTTGTAGGGTAAGGAAAAATGTCAGGCTTTTCTGCCCTCCCGCCATCAGGATAGATGATGGATCCTCGCGGTCCTGAGTGCATGCCTGATGGCGGGCACCTGGAGCAGGGTGTGGGCATAGGTAGATGGGATTCACCTGGGCTGAGACTGTGCTTTTAAGGGCGGCATCACGGGGACACCAGCAGAAGCCAAGAATGAACAAAAGTCGAGAGCAGAGAAGCAGAGAGAACGCCGGAGAGCCCAGAAAGAGTGAAGACTTGCTGGGGGCTGGGAGGCCTGCCAGCCTCCCGGCCCCCCAGCACCCCTGCCTGCCATGTACCTGGTAAATCCCAATAAAAGCCTGCAAAAAACCACTGAGGACTCTGACTCCTCCTTTACCTGGTCTGCATGGGATCCTAGAAAACCTGCACTGTGGCTCTTCCTGCCCTTACAACCCTTCACTTTAACCTTCCTGGTAGTCAGAAGTACAAATTGGAAAACATCCTATCAGTGATTCTTGACCCAAGAGAACTCTGCAGTCATTTCATTACAGAATGCATTAGGTGCAGCAGAATACTGGCGAGCAAAACATAACTTTTACCAGCCAAAATGAGCTCAAAACTGAATTAGTGAATAACTACCATCATGGGAGGAGACTGGATGCCCGCAGTGCATACAGCTGCCTGACATGTTCTCCTTTGTCCTCTTTCCAATGTACCAGGCACGCTGTCACCTTTTCCACCTCTTTTGCAGCCAGATGAGTTTGCTCTCTGTAGCAGGCGCTAGTTGCTGCCCCAGTACTCCCTGGTGTCTTTACATCATTTGTTAGAGTTAACTGGTTCTCAATACCTGTTTTGCTCTGGAATGTTGTCCTTCGGTTTTACTTAGCTTCACGTTAATAGTATTAGCCTTTGAATATATTAGTAATCGCAGCTAACGCTGACTAAGTCTTACCTTATGAAACTGAATCCTGATTCTAACATGTGGTAGGTACCATTATGACATCATTTTCACACCAGCAAATGTAGATTTTTGTAGGTTAAATCACTTCTCCATTGCAGGATGCCATCAAGTGACAAAATGGGAATTTGAAGACACATCTCTGCAGTCTGAGAGCTTCACTGTGTTAATGATTGTAGGGTAAAGAAAATGTCAGGCTTTTCTGCCCTTCCGCCATCAGGATAGATGATGGATCCTTGTCCTGAATGCATGCCTGATGGCGGGCACCTGGAATAGGGTGTGGGCATAGGTAGATGGGATTCAGCTGAGCTAAGACTGTGCTTTTTAAGGGCGGCGTCATGGGGGGGACGCCAGCAGCACCAGTAGCAGCAGTAGCAGCCGAAGCAGAAACCGAAAGAGAAGCCGAGAAGCAGCAGAACGAACGCCAGAGTCCAGATAGAGTGAAGACTTGCTGGGGGCTGGGAGGCCTGCCAGCCTCCCAGACCCCCAGCCAGCACCCCTGCCTGCCATATGCCTGGTGAACCCTAAATAAAAAAACCTGCAAAATCACTGAGGACTCTGACTCCTCCTTTACCCGGTCTGCATGGGATCAGAAAACCTGCACAGTGCCCGGTCCTGCCCTTACAATTGGCGTAAGTCGGCAAGATCCATGTAGACGGGTATTGGAGCCCTCCGAAGACCTGAAGGGACTAAGGAGAACAGGCTTCTTGTCTGTGACGACGCTGGAGGCGCCATGGCGGCACAGAAGGTGGATACGGTCCGGAGCTGTGGGACGAGACCTCGCATGGAGGAGATGCCTGAGAGGACCAGCCAACGACACCGGAAAGGACCAGCCAACGACCCCTGAGGCAGCAGGCCGTTGCTGAAGCAGGGAGAGGCCAATGGACTTGAACTGATGGACTGACAATCCCGCCGGAAGGCGGAGGACCTTGCAGGTTGATATGTTTTGGGACCCTGGGGGTGGAACAGCTTTGTTTGTAAACCCCAGGAGATGGGAATCTGGGGGTGGCCAGTGGGCCTTGATGGCCAAAAGCAGCCTGTTATGCCCAGCAGCCAGGTGGCGGAGAAAAGCCAACTAAGAAGGCAAAAGCTGGTGCTGATGCTACATTGAGAAGCCCTGAGTGGCTGTTAAGCAGCCTGGGTATGCTGAAGCCCTGTGAGTCTCGTAAAATCACCTGTGGGTGATGCCCTGATCATTCTTGAGTGAGGGTTAGGAGCTGAGGAACCCGTTCTTGAGGGACGGGTGGGGAACGTGGCTTGGGGTGGAGCCCAAGCCAAATGTAGAGTTTGGATCCCGACCCATGTGCTTGTGCAGTGGGTTGGCTTGAGTGCAGGGGTCTGTGAGTCGCACTGGTGGCTGTGAAGGCCGAGTGTTGGAGCGACTGCAGACAGAAACCCTGAGGGTTGGCGATTACCCCCAACAGAATAAAATTGCCAATCCCAGAGCTAGTGCATCCTGGGGGTGGATGTTGTGTGTGCCTTGTGGCCGAGACTACAGCCAGAGAAGGCCAGGAAGCCTGACGGCTCCTGGTATGTTATAGTAGATGCCGTGAGTGATTCCCCTCCCTCGTATGAGCAGTGCCTTCGGCAGCAGATTTGGTGGCTCATCTGCTGGTACCAATAATTGTCTTTTGCACTAGGTTGGTGCCCTGCCTGGACTTATTTGTGTTCTGTTGTATTTTATTATATTGTATTTTGTTATATTTGATGTATTTGCTTTTGTGGGCCATGGCTGCATTGTTTGTTTGCTTAGAAAATTGTATATATATATGTATAGACTGTATGGCAGAAAACCCTGAGGGGGTGGATTGTAGGGTAAAGAAAATGTCAGGCTTTTCTGCCCTTCCGCCATCAGGATAGATGAAGGATCCTTGTCCTGAATGCATGCCTGATGGCGGGCACCTGGAATAGGGTGTGGGCATAGGTAGATAGGATTCAGCTGAGCTAAGACTGTGCTTTTTAAGGGCGGCGTCACGGGGGGGACGCCAGCAGCACCAGTAGCAGCAGTAGCAGCCGAAGCAGAAGCCGAAAGAGAAGCCGAGAAGCAGCAGAACGAACGCCAGAGAGTCCAGATAGAGTGAAGACTTGCTGGGGGCTGGGAGGCCTGCCAGCCTCCCAGACCCCCAGCCAGCACCCCTGCCTGCCATATGCCTGGTGAACCCTAAATAAAAAAACCTGCAAAATCACTGAGGACTCTGACTCCTCCTTTACCCGGTCTGCATGGGATCAGAAAACCTGCACAGTGCCCGGTCCTGCCCTTACAATGATTGATGCTGATTCTAACCCTCCCAGCTGCTCCAGCTTTTAGGTCATAAACTTTCAACTCAGTTTGCAATCCTTTGCTTTCTATGACCTTTGTCTCCCCATTTATTTATGACTGGCATTCAGAAGAAGAGTTTTCAAAGAATTTGACTGAGTTAAGGACAAGAATATGCAGGGTCTCTAAGAGGAACTGGAATTTAGAAGAATTTTCTCCAAATGATGATCTGAGTATATTTCTAAGCCAAGGAAAGGACAGGGTGAGAGAGAATGAAGATACAGGAAAGGGGATAATTGATGGAACAAGTTGCTTCTTCCTATGAAAGTTATAATTGTGTGGTTGTGGGAACGACTAGAGAGCTCTTGTTAGAGCCGTTCCAATATGAAAGCAGCTGCAGGCCCATTAGTGTGGCATTTTGATGAAACAAGTTTATAAGAAAAAATATATAAAGCAAACTATTTAAAGATGGCTTCTCTGAAATGATGCCAACATTAACTTAATAGCAATTTTAAATGGCAAAAAAGTGAAAGATTTTAAGGATTTTTTAGAACTATTATTGTACTTACTATAATACATTGCTTTGCCAAAAATATTCTCGAAACTGAGCAATTTAAGAAGCTATTTTAGAAACTAATTGCGAAGATTTTCCATTAAAACAGTTTTATTTTCTTTTTTTTATTAAAATCTCAAGTAAATACATAGCCATGCATAGAATATTATTTATCATAAGACATCTCACAGTACAATAAAACCTTAGATAGGACTTTGGAACAGAAAGTGGATTTGATCTCAAATTGTATTCATTTTGTGAATAATATTCAACTGATAGCCACAAAGCTATACCTTCCGTGGGCTGACAGAGCAGATGTTTTGCTTTGGCCTTTCAAATCAGTCAAATAGCTGTTTAACTTTTTAACCTCCTTTTAATAATTTTAATGAAGCAAATTCAGTGACCATTCATGTCACGTAGTGTATCAAGAGCTGGTATCAGAAACTTGCCTTACCTGAATGTTTTGCTGCCTCCTCTTCATCGCTAAGCAGTCAGCAGTTCACAGCTGCACTCTCATGAAAGCTAATGGCCCTGTGACACTCAAGGAGTGGAACTTCTGGGGACAACCAAAGAATAAAAAGTAGCTTTAGATTCTCTCTCAGGAAAAGTGGAGAATATATACATAATTACAGGATGTTGCACAGTTTCAAGGGGTAAAACCATCTGTGGTTGAGCGGTTGATCCACAGCTCTCCTAGGAGTCACTTTCAAACGTTTACTGTAGACGGCTCTCCTGATTCTGTCCCTCTGTTTGTGTTAATAGTACAGCATGGGAAAGCAGAGAGGATCGAAGGAAGGCGATTATGGGAGGTACAATAATGTATCCTCTACAACTGGCAGCTATGTGTTCCTAGATTGAAGATGGCTACGAAATGCCCAGCAAAAGGAAGGGAACCAGCTGAAACTATGAGACCTTATCAAGAAATTTCAAGATACTAAGAAAAGGAGAAAACAAACAGCTTCCTCTAGCAGTCATGGTGCTTTAGGCTGGAAGGGGTGGAGAAGGAATTCTCACTCAAACTCGCTAAATTATAAGGAAATCATTTATCTCATTAAATGAAAGGTAGCAAGAGGTAAGATAAGTTCCAGAAATAGTTTGAGCTGCAGCTCAGTTGTGATCATCAAAGGCCCCAGTTTTATCTGTTCCTTCATTCTTCCTCTGAATTTCCCTCAATCTGGTTTCCTTGATGTTCAAGACAGTTAACAGTGGCAATGAAGGCTATAAATTTTATCGTTTACATCTAGAAGGAGACTAGGAATCCTTCCCTGACATGTAATACAACAGTTTTATTCAGTTTGAGGGGGTAATTAACGTCACATGTCCATTTCTGGCCAGTGTGGGCAGACAAGAGAATACCCTCTGCTGATTGCCTTCAGTTCATCAGGATACTCGTATCAAATTGGGAATGGGGTAAATACCAGAAGAAATTTGGGGTGAATGGATTGGAGAAGAAACAACATCTACTACAATTTCAAGTGCGTGAGGGGGGAAGCTAAATAAAGGATGAGGTATTTGAATGGTTTTCTCCATAGCAACAGTACAAAATCAAACAACTTAGGTGCTCACAAGATGGTTAAGGAAAATAAATTCTCAAGCAAAATCCCAACCTTATTCTATTTGGGTTGAAAAAAAGTATGATACAATAAATTTTTTTTTCAATATTTGAATTTGGAACCCTGCTAGGTTTGATTTTCGACATTTTACTTTAGAATATACTCTACCAAAGTAAAGGGCACGCCAAGCATGAGGAAGAAATGAGACACAAGAAACAGTTGATTCACACTAGAAAGACCCAGAAGACAGCTCCAAGAAGGCAGTTGTGTTGTAAGCCTACAAAATAGTCAGCCCGAATTAGAAGACTCTAGAAAAATAAAAGGGGTGGGATATTTGCTAGATGAAATTTATCTTATGAAAGAGAAATGCAGATATGTAAGTTGCATAACAAACTAGTAACAAAGCACATGGACAAGTAAGAAAAAGTAAAGACAGAAATTCTGACCTCCAGAAAAAAATGGAACACTGGATAAAAGGTATTATCATTATAGCATACACCCTGGTTCTGCGGTGAATACATTTGATGGAATGATTATAATTAAATAATAAATAGATATTACCGGTGTCTCTGAGGGGATCCAATAAATAGCCTTTTCCTTTCTCCCTACATGGAGTCTGACCAAATTGATAAATAAAGAGCAGCAGATCCATCCTGGGTCAGAAGAAAGTCAGATCTGAGGAGAATAAGCTCCTTTATTTTTCTGAGTTTCTCTGTCAAATAAGTCACTTAACTCTCCTGGCGTGGAGTAAGATAGTAGGGAATAAAGGCCAAACGGAGCCCTAATGGGGTTCCATCTACTTAGAAAGAAATGAGAGGAGTGCAAATCAATGAAGATTAGAGGCACTAAAGGAACGACAGTTTATCTTTTGTAGTACTAAGACAGTAGAAATGTACATGTACATTGTTCACAACTGTAAAGAAGTGAATACCAGAAAAAATGAGCAAAATGAGCCAAACATAGTTGGGTTGCTGTGTGGGATTTTACCCTGGGATGTGGTGGGAGAGAAAACTAATACTTTTTGTTATATTCTGGTACTACTTGATAACTTAAAAGATACTTTTGTATTACTTTGGTGGCACATTAAAACTACTATTTAAAAAATTTTTTCAAGAGCAGGAAGTTAGTACATGACACTATTGTCTAGTACATACTTATTTCAAACTTTGAAAGATAAAATTTAAACATCGTTTTGGGAATGATGAATTCGAGACAAGCAAGACAAGCTTACTTCACACATAGGGTTATTGTTAACTCGAATTATAAGCTGTTGTGCTTTTGTTATCACCTAAATCTAAAACTATGTATTCAATACACACTCTCATTTCTTAACAAATAATCATCTACCTTTCTATCCCACATTACCAATATGCTTTATTTTTAAATACTTTGTTTTGGAAACTATCAAGCATATACAAGAGTGAAAGTAGAGAATTTGGAGAAAAGTTGCAGCAAGTTAAGATTATTTCAGAGATAAGTGCTGGCAAGGCTTTTTAAAAAAGATTTATTTATTTAAGCATACAAGAGCTGGGGTGTAGGCCAGAGGTGTGGGGCTCACCTGTCTGATTCTGAATGGCTGAGAGCTCAGCCAGGAGAGCAGGCAGTAACTCTTGACCACCTCTCTCCTATGGGAACGAAGGGCTTCAGGTTCACGGGTTAGGCCAGGTCTCACCTCAAAGAGAGGGCTGGATACCATGTAGCTGTTCTTATTGACAGCTTTCCCCGCAGAGACTCCAATTTGAGAGGTAAAGACACAGTGTTTATGGTGTTCATCCTGACGCCTGACAGACTGATTGATTCAGCCACTGCCACTGGTATTGATTGTGAAGGCTGCAAAATCTCATTAATGTTGATCTAACTGATTTCTGTATTTACCAAACTAAAACTGTGAGATTTTGGCCAGAAGAAGGCAATTGGCAGTGCTTGATTATCCACAGTTAGCAGTCGTGACTGCTCAGTCTTGCAATTTGTGGCAACTTCTACAAGTTGTGCCATCCCTTCCTGCGGCCATCCTGCACTGTAGGAGAGACCGAGTGACAGAGCGTGAGCGAGAAACAGAGGAGTAGAGATGACTGATGTAAAGCTCAGTTACCTTTGGTGAGAACTACATACATTTTCCTGACAGAAAAATATAATGTGAGGTCTAAAAAACAGCAAAATTTCTCTTACAGAAATTCATGGCACAGTTAATAAAAACATAACAAAATATACAATTACTTCAAATATTTTACTCTTGAAAATGCTTATAGAGAAGTACCTTCAAAGAAATCTGCCCTTGATTAACTGCAGCCCTCTTTTTATTTCCAAGCTTTTATCAATAATCTGGTCCATGGTGGCAGAAGATGGCAAAGCAAAACTGCTTTCATATACATATGAAATATATGTAGGCCTACATTTGTGTCCAGATGTGTGACATGCAAACCACATATAAATAACGTGTATATGTATAACTTATTATTTATGTATGTATAATGTCAATCACATAAATGCTATTATTATATGCAGATATTTTTAGTCTCCACAACATAATCCTATTTACCATAAGGTAAAAAGAGAGTCCCAGACTCTGAAAATTCATGGCCTCTGTTGCAGGCATTGTTGTCATACAATTTCGTTGAAGGAACAGTTGATGCTATTTGCCTTTTCTAGTTATAGGATCTTCATTGAGCCAAAGGTCAGACATCACCTAAAGTGTTCTACTCTCAATGTCCTGGCTTATTATTAATTCACTATATATTTACTGACACCTACTGTATGCCAGGCACAGTTCTAGGTACAGAGAAGTGTTCCCTAAACTATACCAGTCTTTTGAGAGAGAAACAGTTCTTCTCATGCTCACTTTACTAGTAAAAAAACAAGCACCACCACCTGAGGAACAGAGAGGACAACTGTCTTCCCCAAGGTCAAATTGGTGGCATGGGAAGTTTCAGGGCTCACTGCCGCCTATGGACACACTGAATCTATGGATATACACATGGAGCAATTATCTCAGAGATCTGAAATCGAGCTGGACAGCCACTTTACAATAAGGGACAAGAGAACCCTCAAAAACAGGTAGAAGGGGCAGAGATCCATCCAGTTTGGCCAAGAAACCCTAACTGTGATGATGACCCACAATTGAGAGCTTCCCACAAATATGAGCTTCCCCAAGCAGTGAAGGGTTCATGCCTAGGCACACGACCCTTGGGAGCTGCACTAGAGAGACAGTCCCACCAAAACCTCTAGGCTCAACAACCAATGGGCTATATGACCAGGAGGACTGAGAGGAAGTAGAAAATGGAGTCTGGTTCTTAAAGGGCACACACACAGGCCCGCTCACCCTCCTACCCAACACAAATGTAGCAACTTGAAAAGCACTTACATTACACGTGCAGAAGATTCATTAGCTAATCTTAAAGAATCTGCAAGGGTCTGGTGGAAATTTCTTTGGGGATAGAACCCTAATTTTTGAAGCTATCCTCAATGGGATACCTCCATATCCTGAGGACTGGAGGCAGCGGTATTTATGACTGCCACCCCACAGGACCACACGCATTGGCATGCTTTAAAAGTGGATACCTGAGGGTCTGGCCCCAAATCAGCCAGAAAGGAGTTGCAAAAAGCAACCATTCCCCTTGGAACACTGACAGGTCTTGGCATACTCTTAGCAACTGAGACCTATCCAAGATAAACAAAACAAAACAAAACAAAAACAAAAGGAATAAACGAGGCTGCCTAGACAGCCACAACGTTTGAGAGACAACCAAAAAATAGGGCAAAGTAGAACAATGAGTTTCCACTCCTACACAAGGCTGCTCGTTCACAACTGGGAGAGGCAGCCATTTCATCTTCTATGTAGGGAAAAAAAAAAACAGAGTAAAGCAAAATGAAGATGTAGAATACGTTGCAAATGAAGAAACAAGATGAAACTTTAGAAAAAGAGCTCACTAAACAGAGATAAGCAATCCACCAGATAAAAAAATCAAAGAAATGGTATAAAGATGTCATGGAACTCCCGAGA